GCGGGGAACTTTGTGAACCACAGACCTGGCATTTAGCAACAGCAGCCTGAGACCAGGGCCCTGACACCTCTCGCCATCTGCTCCTGGAGTAGAGCTAGTAGGGCCGGAAGGAGGGATCGCTGTCACGTAGCGAACCCTCCTTCCCCGGTAATGACTAGCCCTATAGCTCCCGTCAAACGTGCCTCTCCCAACAATGACCGGAATGCACCGGCCCATCCCTGCACCCGTAGACCCCACTTCCCCTCCCGTAGCCTCCGTTCTCCCTGGCAGGCCATTCATATCATTCATTCTGGGACGAGAGGTAGGTCTGGACCCCCTACCACTTCTGCTTCAGCACTCAGTGGAAGAGGCACCAGGCTGCACTCCCAGTCCTCTCAAACATACCACAGTCACTCACTCATGCAATCCCCACTATAGTCAGTTTAAAAGTACAGAAATACAATAGATAACAGGTAACATTAGCTCCTTGAGTGGCTAAATTACAATTCCCATGTGCTTTAATTTCAGCAAAATCACTCTCCTCTATGTAGCAATTAAGGTGAGAAAAATAATTCCAATGGGTGCCACAATATACCAATAACAGCTTTTTCTTCATACTAACCGGTATGTTAGTATGCACATTTATACAGTGTGGAGCTAGGAAGAATATATATGAATAGGGAAGGCGGAACTGCCAACTGACTGCTAATTTTTCATTGAAGGAATGTTACCCACAATATAAAAATATGACACCTAAACCAGAAACTATTTGTATTTTTCTTGTGAACCCTGCTGGAATTTGATTCATAGCAGCTGTGGTGGTGGAGTGGTTAGAATGCAGTACTGCAGACTAATTCAGCTCACTGACAGGAATTTGATCCTGACTGGCTCAATGTTGACTCAGTCTTTCATCCTTCCAAGGTCAGTAAAATGAGGACCCAGATTGTTGGGGGCAATATGCTGACTCTGCAAGCCACTTAGAGAGAGCTGTAAAGCACTGTGAAGTGGTATATAAGTCAAAGTGCTAGGCACTATTGCTATAGCAGCTGCATGAGTCTTTAAAAAGATACAAAGTTAACACTCTGCTTTACTGATCCAAAGAAAGATCCAAGCTCCCATATATATCACCTAAATGCAATATTATGGCAAATATAATGCTTTGCTAGCTCCTATAGAATAAATGAGTTCTGCACAGGATTCGACTTGATTATTACTGGCACAGCGGCATTGTGGTTGAGAATATCTGGTCACCAGTGTAACAGCAAATAAAGTAAGCAGTGTCTTGTCACCAAAAGTGTGAGGAAGAAGCAATGCTTGAAAACCCATACAGGGTATTATATTGGCGACATGGGACTTTATATCAAATACTCCAGATCTTGTGTTCTACTCCTGCAGTTTTGCTGATTAAACTTCATTTTGCTGCATAGTAGACCCAACTTGGATAAGATTTATAGAAATTGTAACAACAAATAAGATCAGCAATTGCTTAACTTCTATTACATATTTGTTATATTTTGGCTATGATCCTTGATAAGAGTCAAATGATATATAATCATTTTGTTCTAGCTCATATACTAAAAGTAGCATAATATGGAATTTGAATAAAATAATATTTAGCATGGCGGAAGATACAGATCTACTATTTTTTACCGGGTAACTGCTGAAGCTGATAGTGCAGGAATACGTGATTCTCAGGCCAAACATAGGCATTATATAAGCAAATGGCCATCACTCTTGAGAACAAGAAGACAACAAATACATTACAATTCACTCAAAAAAACTGCAGAAAAAAAACCATAGGAATTAAAACCTGGAGCAGGCTTCTGTATATTAGGTTTAATTTCTGTACTCTATAGAAACTTATCTTCTACAAAGGGAGGATTTCTATTTCATCCTCAATAAAGTAAAATATCCAGCTGTATTGTATCTAAGAGTTTCTTTTGTATGGAAATCCCTTAATATAATTGGAAAACTGAGATTTACTGCTGAGCATAGAGTGAAATCTGATACTCTGCTCTAAGATGAAACAGAACTGGCATGAAATGAAGCAGGGAGAATAGAAAAGGTAGCAATATAGTTAACTACATAGTATTTTTCACTTTTGGTTGTTTTCATTCAACTCTGCTCGAAAAAAAGAGATAATATAGGATACTTACACTGGGATGTGTTCAAAGGCATCTTCAAAGTTTTCCTGCAAATCAAATAAGAATAAATTATTGGAAAATTCATTATCTTCCTATAAAAATCCAACAAGCTTCGCTAAATACAACACCATAGCTATTTCATAATTGCTATTTCATAACTGCTTTCTAACAAAATTTCTATGCTATTAAAGAATATAAGCAGTACATTGTATTGTAGAACATTATAGGATTGCAAGTGAAATATCCACATCCCTGAATCATTACTTCCCTAAACTTCTGTAAATAACATAATTTCATTGATCTTAGGAGCACTCAAAAGATAAAGCTTTTTCTTGTGGTGGACATAAGTTTTCCTTTTTAGTTTGCAAAGGGTAGATTATATTGTTGTCAAATAAAAAATTACAAAAATCCAATTCAAATTCCAGCAAAATAAAAAAAAATGTTATCAAAACCAAGAAACAGAAAAGGAAAGGTTGTACAGATGAGAAACAAAGTTTGAGAATTAGTCAAGGGAATATTTTTCTTGTTTGAAGAAATAATTTTCAGTGCAGTCCTTTTCAAACTATAGAATTGCAAATGAAGGCAGTTATCATTCTGTAAATTAATCATCCTCTCAAATATGCTTATATGTTTTAAGATGCTCAAAAGTTCTAAGAGGCTTCCAAACCTGAATATTGCTTCACAATTAACAAGTTATAAGGGACAAACTAAACACCCTTTCTCTGAAATACATCCAGGAAAAATGGAAATAGCAAAGTACAATTTATCAGAACATTTTTAAAAAGCATACTAACAAATGAAAAATTAATGTACTAGTATTAAATGCACTTAAAAGACAAATTCTCAAATGTGTGAATTAAAATTTGTGGATTCAATTGAGTCCCCCATTGATATAATTCTGCAATATATATTTAACATGTTTTACAAAATTTATACTTTTATATTTTTGTAAAATCATATCTAAAATAAACAGTATTAGGCAACTAAATATATTTGGTTGGTGAGACACTTTAAATCCTTGAGAAATGCTATTTTCTTACTAGCAAGAAATTTGGTAGGAAAAAGCTTGAAAAAAACATTAAAAGGCCAGATTTTAATAAATACATTTTGTTCTTAAATGGAAAATAAATAAAGATTTCTTCTACATTGTGAAAGAATACAAAGGACACAAAACTAATCTGAAATTAGCTTGCTTTTGTATTTAAAGGCAGAATGCAATAATGTATTGCAATGTTACCTATGCTTTTTCATCTCTTATGTACTTAGATGCAGTAAAAAAGAGAAGTAAACATTTGATCAATAGGTCAATTTATTACAGATATCGTTATTTGATGTGCCAGTGACTAGAGACAGCATTACATAAAGCAGTAATGAAATGTTAAGTAAGGCAAACACCAGCAATGTACTACTTTTATCTAACTGACTTTTTATGTTAAACAAGAGAATAATAATCTTTCAAGTGAATATTTTTAGAATTATTGTTAATACTTATTTATGACAACTTTCTAAACATCAGATGAAAACTCATCATTGGGCCGCAAGTAAGTAAGTAAATCTTTATTACGGTCAAAGACCAGCAATACACATTAGTTTTTACAATATGTTAAAAAGTACTGACATTAAGATATAATTTAAAAGTATTGACATTAAAAGTGGAAAATAACATACATATTCTCAGATTGTTTGGGTCACTCCCTGGTTTATCTGGATGAAACGCTGTTAAGTATAGGAGTAAATACAATGGTCCAAAGATTGTTAGAGCTATATGTCCAGATAATTGGTACCAGATGACA